AAATCCCAAAACTTAACGTCTAAATCAAGGTTATTTACGGCCATCGACCGACGGTGATTTCTAGTGGTCAGAATATGCTAAAATTCGCCTTTTAAAATATATTAAGAGGGCAAATTCTAACTTTCTTGGCAAACTAGAAAGGTTTTTAAGCAATCTGATATAAATTTTGTGGCTTAACTATGCGAATAAAATATTTTACAATATTACAAAATATGCCTATTTTTCAATTTTCGAGACGTTGCGACTGTCCCTACGGACTGGGAAATAATTATGGCTCCTAATGCAGTCAGAAAATTATTTCGAATCAAACCAAATCTAATTTAGTTCTTTCCTAGGTAAAGTCTTTCTGTTGACAGAGTTTCAGGCAAAATTATTTTTGACGCAAAATTGACCGGGTGGAAATAAGAGAGACAGCCTCTTTAAACAACGAGTAATATTCTTAACAAGGAGCGACTCCTAAAGGCAGTACAGTACTTGTCCTCGATAAACTTACTTAAGCCCACTACATTCTGTATCTTAGCTCACCACTGACCAAACCCGCAGTTTCCTCCGACGTTTCTTGAAATTAGCAATCTTCCACCGAAGCTCTCTCTTACGGTATAGCTTTCTAAACAGTCGATCACTCCCGACAACAATAACAACAACTACTTCTATTACATAACTAAGTCCTTATATACATTCCCAAAGTGCTTTGAAACATTCCGGAAGTTTAAAGAAGAACTTTTTAAATAGTATTACGTTATAACTGGGTGACTTGATGAGACGTTCAAGAAAGTTCTATGGTACGCATGTCAGCATGACTAAGCAGTCTTGGATTTCTAGAGGCCTATATTTACAATAACAACTACTCATAACAACTCTAAAAGCATGATACAGCCATAACAATAACAAAATCTTCGAAATTGCGCTAAACTTGCATTAGAGCGCTGACCTCGGGCCTCGGGTTGATTACCTTGGATGGAGCAATCACTTCCAGGTTCTCGAAAGGAAAAACAAAAAAAGGAAGGAAAGAATTTTTGTTAAATGTTGTAGGGAAAAGTGTAATTACGTTTTTCCTGGGGGTAATTGCGCCAGTTATTCCCCTTTGCCGTCTTCGACATTCGCAACATTTTAAAGGAGTTGAGTTTACGCAGGTGCAGTTTCATTTTTTGTATCAACTTATTCTTTTTCATTTAAAGTCCTCTTGGATGCGTAACTTATTACTATTTGCCCTTTTAAAAATAAATTTAGATATACTTGATTAAGATTTGTTTAGTATATATTTATTGGGCAAAGTAAAAGGATATTATTGATATTTAACTGCAATCACGCGAAAGCTTAAATCGAATGCTTGAATTGATGTCATTTATCAGCCCCATAATATTTGCGTTTACTTCTCTAAATTAATTTGCCAGTTCAAAGTTTGTGACTGAATTCCTTCCCTCATCTTCCTGATTTTCCATTCCAAGTGGGGTTCCCGCCGTTTTTTTCTTTAACTCAACATCTTTTGGGCAACGAAGCTCCATAAAGAAATGTGATGACTATAATTTGCAGAGCGAAATTCGAAAAACTCGGCGTGGAAGGAGGGATTCATGCCAGCATATATAAATGGCCTTATAATGCTCGAGAAAGACATCAAAAAAGGACAGAGCATTCGGGTGTTAGGTGGAACGACGGAAGCGCTGTATCACCACAATGACCCAAAATGGAATCCAACACAGTGCAAAGGAAAACGCAATAATGGCGAGCGATTTGGTAATCTTGATCTCTTTGACTTTTAATCGATTTTCCTTGTCCTCGGCTAAGGCTGTTGAAGCCATTTTCAGATTGTGATGTTTAAAGTCGACTTTATTGACGAATGAAAATAAGAGGATCGACAATCCCCGAGTAAAAATCATAAAGTGCGATGGCGCTGAGGCTCAAGATGAAAAATCCGTTGAATGACTACAAAAACAAGCAATGCGCGTAATTTTCAATAACAAAATTTGCAGTTACTGATTGACTTCTTCCCTACCGACTGAAGAAAGCTTTCAGATACACAGCCAAAATAGGCCTGTGGAAAATCTTCCATTTGTCGATTTTCGTTCTCAGCTGCGAGAGATACTATCACCAAAGCCACTGAATATGTAAATTTCGGTCTTTCTTTCCGTATTTTAGTTTTCTTCCCTCTAGGAAAGTTTGAACGTCACTGTCTGTGGGCGATACGGATTTTAAGTGTTTTAGCAGCCATAATCCGAGAAAACTCTGACAAACAACTATGGATTGAACGAAATGGTGAAGAATTTACTTTTCATTCCTCATCCTGACGTGAAAGGCGAGTCGCGCGTCAGCAGCTGATTGACGATATCAAACACACATCGTGGAAAAAATATCGCGTATTTTCTCAGTTTCTCGTAACAGCTTTTCTCAGGGCTACGAATTATTGTGTAATACCGTAGTTTATATGATAAAAAACATTGATTTTTTACACGTATGGACTTTTCTTTTAGTCTATTTGAAAAAGATTTTGCTCTTTTCCAGGTTTTATGGCATTCTGAAACTTTATCTTAGTGATCACTGTATTAGTCTAATTTGTAACAGTATCACACTACACAATGTAGCATGCGTAATGCTCGTGGGAGAGAAAGATTCTCAACCGACGTTTACTGGCGTTCGCTCTTCTGAGACAATAATTTATTATTATTATTAATTGGAAACTTAAGCAAACCTCTATGGCGACGGCAACAAGGAAGAGGCACAACAAAAGATCTAACGAATAGAACAATAGCTCAGCACGAGCGTTTTAAAACTTTGTCTAACTCCTACAAAACAACAGCGTGAAGTCACCAAAATTCGCGTGGTTTGAGGGCCCAGACTCAGTTGGTGAACCATTCAAGTTTCTATTTTAAAATCAGCATTGTGCTCCCATCTTATGCTGAAGTTGAGATATGGCGCCGTAAGAAAAGCCGAGCTCAAAAGCATTCGCAAAACTCGAAATAAAAGTATGAATTTTAGAATCTACTTTTTCCTCGGCGTTGTAGTTCTAACTGGTTAACGTCCCTACTTGAGTATTTAAATTCCTTGTTTGAAAGTTTTAACTGTAATTATGACTGACTATATTAAACGCTATGAATGCATGAAGATTATTTCTGAGCAAAATAAAGAAAAGTAAAGTAATATATGTTTCCCTTTTCAGTTTAGGTATGGGTTTATGTTACGTCGCCAGTGAAAAGACTGATCTTATTGTTGAACGGCTGAGGTCCTCAGATGTGTCTCGGTTCTTTTATCATGGTACAGGAAAAAGCTTGATATCCATGGTGGCAGCTGGTGCTTTATTTAGCCAATCGCACCTAATGAAAGATTCATTTCATAAGCTTCATATGTTTGACACATATCATACTCAGATTATTAACAATGACATTTTTGAAATAATTTTTACTGAGGACTGTTGTAGTTCCCTTCGCAGCATCATCCTGCATCGCATCAAATACCCTACTTTACACAACCAACATGAGTTTTCGCAAATGCGCCAAACTTGCCTTGGAATGCTTAGTTTGGGTCAGTTACCTTGGAATTGGAGCAATTATTTTCCAGACTCTTGAGAGGGAAAACGAAAGAAATGAAAAGACTCGTTTAAAATCCGAGATCGCTTCATTGCGAGGCAAATACAACATTTCAGATGAGGACATAAACAAACTAAGGGATATTTTCGAGAGTCCTTACGCTTCGACAAAAATAGAAACATGGAAGTTTGGCAATGCATTCGTTTTTGCAGGGACAATATTGACCACTGTCGGTGAGTATGAAAAGAGTTCAAGAACGACATTTATAATTATGTTGTTAATCAGTCTATATTCTCCAAGATTTATGAAGACTGAGAATCCCCATAAAACAGAGTCTCTTGGCTTTGTTTTGCTGTGTAATGTTGGTCAGGTTTTACAAAGCGTCAGTGCATAGTATAACTTCAGTCGTACATGCATTTAAACCAATTTTCTTTGAAGCTTATTTGAATCATTTAATTTACTTTCATAACGCTGTTTGTATCCAGGAGAGGAAGGCCAAGAGGATGCTCTTGATACTCGGCACAATTTGATCGTCTTACAACTTTTAAACACATTGTTGAAGTGCGCCATGTTTAGTATTGTGACTCCTGCTGATTCTTCCATATCGTATTCGATGTCGGCTACAGTTTTGAACTTTATTTAGGACATGAGAGTAATAAATGTTGTGTCAGATCTACATTTGAGTGAATTGTAATATTTCATTATCTGAACAAAGCACGTGCAATCAGCACAACACTTCATGAAAATGGAACGAAACAAGTGAATATGAAGGTAAGGCATTCGCCTTTTTCCATCGACGGACGTAAACGCAGCATTTACAGCACAGTAGGCGACCCATGCGAAGCGAAGTTGTGAGTTATTATATACATAGTCGGAAATATAATTAAAATCGATCATCCTGGGTTAGTCGTTGTGTAATTTATTGAAAAGGGTAAGATAGGATTTGTTGACGTTTTTCTTTCATTATTTTTGGTTTCAGTTTTTGTAATTAACTGTGACTTTCTTTCTGCAGGCTATGGCCACATAGTTCCCTTGACTTCATGGGGCAGGATTTTTTGTATTTTGTATGCACTGTTTGGAATACCACTGACATGTGTGGTTTTCAAGGTAGTGGGTACAAATATCAACGAGAGTATTACGAAAATGATCAGGGCTGTGAAAAACAAATTTCTCAGACGAGACACAATACACGGCGAAGCAACTGACAGTGCCTTGGTCGCCACTTTCTTGGCTATCTTCACTCTTGCTGTAATTTCTTTTATGGCAGATTTGAGACGTAAAGATTGGACTTACTTAGAGAGTTTTTACTTCTGTTTTATAACATTTAGTACCATAGGATTGGGAGATTTCTTGCCCTTCGAGGATGGAAGAGTTGAGGTCAGCGAATATCTAATGATGGCAGCTGGGGTTATTTTAGGATTCTCTATGATGTCCACTATGCTCTGCGCTCTTGGTCAGGCGGTCGAGGAAGGCACCCACCTAAAAAAGGTTCATCTGCTTGTGACTACGATTGAGAATGCAGACAGGGGTAAAGAAAACTTAAAAGCAAGCACAAGCCAAGAACTGGTTGACATAGATCAAGAAAATGAACTCTAGATGTATTTGTCGTCTGATTGAAGGCACGTCGTTAAAAGGTATCTTTTACATGCAATAATAAAATTATACTGACAATGAAGTATAATCGTATGTATCACTTCCGATGTGGATCGCGTCATTCCAACTTCTTAAGAACGGTGAATCTTCTTCAGGCCAAAAGGTCCGTTGAATATATATGTCTTCATAGGAATCATATGCGCATTTCAAAGTAATCTGCTACTGCATTGTTTGTTTTTTTTTGTGGTCTTCATGCATACTTCCGTGATTTAAATTCCAGTGCCCCTTTTGATGGCATTAGAGTGAGAACCTATCTAAACCCTCTATTTTACTCTGAGTGTATCCTAATGCGATCACGATCAATAGATAAACTTTGTTCCCTTCAGTAACAGGCCGAGAAAGTAAGAAGAACACTTAGTTCGAACTCCTTCGGTCGCTGAGTTTGGCATATTGAGAAAGCTACATTCATAATTCAGATTTTCTTGGAGGATATTGGAGGGATAAAGTTCAAAATCGAACGGGGAGAAAAAGCAACATCTCATTAATTGACAACCGTCGCCAGTCAGGACATATTTTCAGTTGTTTTTTGTTAATTTCAGTTTGAAGTGTAGGAGGTTGCGGCTGGCGATCATCACTTTGCAAGCCTTGTCTTGATTTCTTAATTTCGTTAAAAGACGCATCAAAAGGCCCATGAAGGCAAAAAATACCACAAATGATTCGATTAACAGTACAGTTCACTTTAGTGCGATGTAATTTAGATTTTCAGGGCTTTATTAATAACCCTCATAGATTTTGTTCGTCTCGTGTCAGCCGCGAACATATAGTGTGGCCTGCCCATGGTTTATGTTACTGGCAAACTCACAGTTGTTTTATGAAAAGATAGTGGACCTCTCCTTTTATGGGTTACCTGGTGTAATAACCCACTTGGGATGTTTAGAGAAAACTCGAAACCTGTGACACGCGGAAAAATTGGAGACAAATTTTAACGGGATGTAGTCAGATGCTAAAAAGAGAGAACTGATTTTCAATCTCAATTTTTATACGAGTTTAACACAAAGCAATTTCTAAAATCGACTCTTTTGGTAAAACCTTGAAGATCAATCTTTTATTCCTAATATATTTGTTACCATTTCGTAGAAAATGTTGTGGTGATTCATAGTGGTGAATAACAATAAAGTAAGTTTTTCGTCTGTCTCACGATGTAGTCACCTGTGATGTAGATCGCGACGTTTCGACTGCATACTGCATGATCTTATAAAACATGATGCTCTGCTGTGATTAGTTGTTTTTCAACAGCTATGATTGGTGCATTTCGATCCTTGCTGTTCACTCAGTGATTTGCTCCCTCTGCGGTCCGCTGTTGCACGGTCTTTTGGTCGTACTAACTGAGATCTTAGCGTAGTCTCCGACTTGAAATAGCG